CAGGAGGCAGCAGGCAGGACGGCAGCCTCTGTTTGAACGAGGCATCATCATGAGAGGTTGAGCATGGACGCTGAGACAGGTTGTTGTTCTTGTTAAAGCGTACAGAGAGTAGGGTACAGTGCAGTAGTACCACACTGCTTTTGCAGTACATATGGCCATGGGGGGGGGGGCAGGGGGGGGGGACCACGGCGAATGAGAGAAATGAGTGCAGAGTCGAGGGCTGGTCATTGAAGCGCAGTCTCAGGACATGCTGTATGCAGAGTATATTTACAGCGGGATGTCTCTATGAAGCGAATGAGGGGCGATGAATGTATGTTTTTGAGTTGTAAATTTGAATGGGAAGACTGAGAAAAAGTTTAGAAGCAGCAGCCCAATCCGGCACATTCCGAGTTAGGACGGGGCATGTGGGGGAGATTGTGGATGCAGGGCACGATCTCGCTGTCAGACCCCATAAATAACGCTGTCGTTTTACAAGCATGGGGCTGGACACTTTCTGGGAGGGGGGGCCGGTGGTGGGGGCTGGTGGTGGGGGCGTGCCTCTCACGAGCATGCTCGCGATATGAATGTAGCGGAGAGATATCAAGTTGGGAGTAGATGTATGGAGTCCTGTTGGATTTGAGGTCTCCCGCGGAGAGATTCGAGAGCCCCAAAGGATCATAGCGGAAGTCACGGTCCACTTCCAAATTTCAATCATGTAGATTGGCGTTCTGATTGCAACTTGCGTGAGGCTAATCACACGATTTGGGGCTTGCTGGCCCACAACAACTGTGATTTGGGGCGGGTAGAGTCCGCCCGCGTCGTATTTTTATCATATGTTTCCGGACTTGGAGGCTGTTTACTGTATCACTCAACCGCCTCCGCCCTCCACGCCGTGGCCCCTGCACGCACAACCCTGGTAAAGTTACACTTTAATCTGCACAGCCCGCCTCAGCGTCAGCGCCAATTGGGTGCGCCAGCCACCAATAGAGTGCACCAATTGAGTGCGCCAATTGAGGGCGCCCGAGAGCTCCGCGCCATGCATCACAAATCCTGCCGTAGAGTCGCAGACCGACTATCTTCAAGTTGTGTCGCCTTTCTCGCCTACCACTGGTAATGGTGAGTTGTACAGTACATTACCCTTCAGAAGGGTAGTACATTCGGGACACCTTATCACTTCAACTTCACAACCACCGCCCTGTCCACAATACCGTACAACAACGCCAATGCGCCGCCTCTCGAGGCCCGAACCAGAGATCGTCTTCACCCGCCTGGTCACCCCCCTTTGCAGGTGTATATAATTTACGGTATCCGTCCTTCCACCACCCGCTCACCCCCGGGGAGGCGGTTTCACACAATCTATCCCCTCCAGGAACGCCCCGTCGCCCACATATTCAACGGTGCCCAACTTCTTGTCCGCAACGGATACGCCGCACAATCTCTTTTCATTTCAACGAATCACATTCCATTGCTACCTTCGCTTCTCCATCACATTTGTACCTGAGATACTCGCTGACATTATTGCCCGTTCAGATATCTTGGGATACTACACAACTCAACTACAGTAATCCAATTGTGGACCGTACTACTTGTAAACCACGATCACCTCTGCCCCCGCTCGAGACTGTCGTCACAAACAGCCTCGCTTCATCAACTTTCTTCAAAATGCTCTAGTGTTTTATACCGAATACCGTCCAGTATCCAGTAAAGTATTCATTTCATCTCCCTTGCGTTTCCATCGTACGCTATCGCATCGCCCTACCGTTCCGTGTTTGAAATATTCAAATGCATCAAAAAGACAACCAATTGCTAGTGCCGTGGCACCTCTCAGCAGATACTATACGCTTTGTTGGTACGGGACAAGCCGTGGAGAGCGAGTCGGTCCAGGATGCGTTATTTCGCAACAACTCCATGCGTTTATCCGTGCGCGAGCTTCTACTGTACCTAACAAACACCACTACGCCTCGCCTGCCCGCCCCAGCACCCTGGTTCCCACAGTTTCGCCTCGCCGCACTCTACGACCACTCGGCACCGATTATACGGCCCCAATTTAAACCCGCGTCCGCGCCAAGCTTAAAGGTCTACCTGCCCACCATTCCCTGAATACACAGCGAGTGCTTACTGCTTGCACAAAACGAGTAATCTTCTCGTGTAACTTCTTCCTGGCGAGTCCTAAATTCATCCCTTTTTGAAACAATAGTTTGGTGCCCAAGTAAACATAAATCTGTCTCATTCATTACTTTGCCGACTGCAGCACGGGGCCCGCGGCTATAATCGCACTTGCGGCTGGCACAAGTCCTGCTTCCCTCCAGTTCCACTAACGCCGAAAGAAGATATCCGTGAAACATGTCTCCTCACCAGCCAGTCTGTGTGTAACCAGTATTGATTCGTGCCTACCACCGTCTCATTACAGTGAGTCCACCATCGCATTTGCATCATTCCCCTGCCAGCCACACCTCGCGCCTCCTAAGTCCCCACTTCTCGGGTTCACCCTGTTGCCCAAGGATATTTTGTTTCGCCAGCCCTCCTAAAGTTTATCTCATCCACCTCCAACTGTGGAATCCGCCGCCGCAAAAGTGCTTGTAACGGCCATGCGACCAATGAGTTTCTCGTTAACAAGACATGGCCTTCGGTAGGGTAGGTGGGGTGGCGGTTTTGAGGGGCACACGATATATAACAGGCGGCACTTCCACTGCGGCTTTGCAAAAGCGTCTCAGTCGCTGTGCCCATCTCAAATGTGCGGACCGCTGACCTTGTCGTAAAGATGTCCGAGGCGGCTCTCCGCAACACAGTGAGTCTTGTTTTTACGACAGGGGCTACACACAAAGGCCGAAGATAGATGCCTTCCCGGGGCGCGTCCTGACCATCAGACTGAGCTCGTTTGGTGCACACTCTGAGGCTTGGATGCGGAGTAGCACTCGCGCCGGGCCGCACGATCATTCTCTGCGAGCATGGCATTCATCTTGTCGTGTAGGACAGCTGTCTTTACAATAACCCGTCGAGTTGTAGGAGTAATAATATTACAATATTATTGTCTACCGGCTGAGGAGACATACGCACCGTGACAGCGGGGACAAACGAGGGCAAACTCAAAAGGGCTTGGTGGGGTTCAGCGCAGTGCAAAAATTGCAGATGTCTGCACTACACTGTACGAGTATGATAGTACTGCCGAAAATGTCTGCACCACAGTGCAGATGCAGAATGATCAAGCCAACAAGTATACTCGAACCCACTGCAATTAAAATGGCTGACAGTCCCTGTAGCAGCCGATAGACAAGCATATTGTCTACTGGCTACATCGTGCAGACACGTGGCCTCGTGCTGCAATAATATTGCATATTATGATGCCCTCGGCAAGCCTCGGTGCTCATACAGTATCTGCACTCGGAGCGTGTCTGCACTCGTAGCCAGTAGACAACCCCTACATGTCTCCCAGTCGGATGACCCTAAGTCATTATTGTCGCCATGTTGAGGGCAGCGACCATTTTGTCACCCTCCCCCCTCCCACATACTCTTGGACACAACTGTACCGACCGACTTCAACGGCATCTTGAGGCAACCCCAACATATTCCTGTAGTGCAATAGCCCCTTCTACAGTAGACTTGAGCTCCGTCAACAATGTGCAGTACCGGGATATCTCTCAATCGTCAACTATAAGGAGAATGGGGGCAAGGGAATAAATCCTCCGCTTTAGCAATGCTGTATTGATTCGACGATATTCGCACTAACATGTTATACAATGCTGAATTGTATAGTGCGAATATCGTCGAAGAAGCATCAGGACCAATGAGAGGACCTTCTGTGAGAAGGAGGCAACTATTACTGTCGAGACTTTCTGCTTGAGATTGTACCACGTCGCCGAAACTCTCAAATCTGGCAGCTTTATCCGTACGCACGACGACACAGATGCTCTTGTGAAGCTGTGTACAATAGACGGGGAGCAGAGCGAGACCCCCAATGTAAGCCGCAATAGAGGTGTTTGTTTGAAACGGCTGGCAATGAACCAAACCTGCGCACACAAGTTTCCCTTACGCGGGCCTACAGTAGATTCGCTTTCTACAGCGCCATGTGCCGTTGGACACGACGCCAGGCACACACTTACGTCCGCCAGGACCATAATGTTATCCACAGCTGCAAACCCCGCTCTGCCCTTGGCGCGCTCTCGAAAATCTAGAGCTCTCGAGTGCCCACAATGGGTCACAAGTGACCTCAGGCGAGGCTGGTGTTCTGCCTCCAGTATTTTTCTGGCCTTTGCTCATGCGAAGAAGAGAGATACCCTCTCCATCGCACCTGAGTTATACGTAGTAGAAGGATAGATCCTCGCGAAAACTGTCTGTCCTTCCCGGTCATTATCAGGTAAGTCTGGCAGACAAGCATTTCTCAGCAACGCTGAAGCCTTGTTTCCAGATATCTTCGAAACCACAATCCCCGTTCAAAGAGCCAACTTCTACATAATACCAATCTTTATGTGCATGCAAAACTGATATCCCCATGCCCCGTCTGCTATTATTGCTGAGGGCAAATGCATTAAAGAAAAGGTGTACAAATTGGCAGGCGCAGGATTGTGCAAGGGTGGAGTTGAGACCGATTGACTTGGCAAGCTGCGAGACGGGTGCTTGCGGCTGAGGCCGCAGTCGTCCAGATCGAAAATAAAGGCCGGCTGTGGTTGACATCCTCACTCCCTGTATTAGATAAATTGCCAGAGGATAGTCGCGAATGAGAAGGAGAATGGAAGGCGAGCATTGAAGGGATTGGTTTCCTTTTTACAAATATGGACAGGTGTCTTAGATAGGCCTCGCTTCCGCCGGGTCCTCTCCCTGCTGTGCTCCCCATCCAAGTATATGAATCCATTTGTACTGAGACATCCTCAACATGTCTCTAATGTCATTCTAAGAAACTTTAAAAGGCGGGACGGCGCCTCACATTTTTCTGTTGGCATTTACGCATCTTCATTAGCATACTGTGTATTCCTCAATTCGCGATTGATCCATCGCCCCTTTAGCAGCGAGATTTGCCCGTTGCTTCGTTCCATGACTGGAAGAAGGGAGTTTGTAAGGGACGAACAAGTGCAAGTCTTTCTTATCTTCGAGTTTAGTCGTGTGTGATTCGCGTCCATTTTACACCATGGCCAGCACTGCACATCGCAGTATATAATCGATGAGTGCAATAGGTATCGGTTCTCAAAGTTCAAAGGCAGAAGAATAAGGGTATCCATCTGAATGGAATTTGTCGCTTGACCGAAAATATCACTGAGATCAACATGATTTTAACACTGGGCAACCTCACTTTGATCTTGGCGCCTTTTGGTAATCTCCGGTGTTGTGTTCTCCTAGGGTAGCAGCTCCGCGCACGCTGTGCTTAGTTTATGTCACGCAAGGAGCCTGTCGTAGCAAATTGAAAAAGTGCACAACAGGTTATACATCTTGGGCGCACAGCACTTGCCCGTTTTGCAAGAGCTGGTGAATTTGGGGTGCAGTAGAATGCAGAAACCGCTTGGTCGCTTGTCAGGTAAGTAAACGCGCCCACCACGAGTGCGATCGCAAGTACGGCGATGATGATGAGCGATGCATCGCAGGCTGCGGGGCGCATCTCCCAAGAAGTCGGGCTGTGTTAACCGCAAGGCCACAGGGGATTACTGTAGTGTAGGGCGACAAGTCCGCTGGCGAAACCTTGCCGCACCCGGCCCGCGTAGTCTAGGGCGTGACTTGGAAGCATTGTTACGACCCCTTCGTGCGCGGTTCCGCTCGGCTGTTGCGGCTTGTGTGTCGCGGGCCAGTTGATAGGCGCGCAGCTGTTCAACGCACCAAACTGCATGTACGTAGCCATTGTTACGGTAGACTCTCAGCAGGCAATGCAACGTACTTCTTCGTCTTGAATGCATGCAGCTTAAACTCGCACAGCATCGTCTTGAGGTCGTCGGGGTCCCCGCACAGCGCGTGCATCTGGCCGTGCGAGGTGCACGTGCGGGTCGAAGAACGAGCCGCGCAGCGACCGGCAGCGTCGTGGTCGGCCTCAGCATCGCGACCTGCGCCATGGACATCTGCCACGTCACCTGCGCGTACGTTGTTGAGGTCAACAGGTCAACCAGTACTGAAAGGTGACATCATACTGCATGCGACTTTTTGTCTATTACACTTGGACACGTGTACAGCAGAAACACATCGTCCTTCTGCCGTACACCTCGGAGTGAAGGTCCGCCGGCACCACGCAAAAAACAAGTGTCCCACAGTATACTAACCCTTTTCAACCACACCAGCAGAGAACTCATGATAAATCCATCTCCAGAACTACGCAGAACTGCAACTTCTGATATCTCAGCTCTCGACTACAGGGTTCCATCTTTAAGGTGCCACTATTAAGGTGTCGTCTCTCTTGAACAGCCTTCTGTAGATGCGGTTAGGATAAGACCCACAATATAGTCGTTTTCATCCACGCTTGCGGCCACCCTTATGCTTATCCCCTCAAAACGTTCCTTTTCTTGAGGTGCAGGCTATCGTCACACAAGATTGATTGCGTTCCTCGAGGCGAGATTGAACGCGTACTGTTTGTGCATGGGCACAAAGCTACGTCCCAATCGACATTGCCGTGTCCATTATTGCAATTTGTGCCTTTTTGAAGTGGCGCAACTCGTGTTGCTACTAAACGTAAACATTGACGAATTGTAGAATGCGAACCCATACAGCCAGCAAGACCTCATATTGTTGTAGTTGTCTGAGCGTGCGACGTCGTGGGTGCTTTAAAGCTATAATACGTTCTCGTCCGTTATAGTCTGAATATTTCCCACAGTCCTGAAGGATTCTTTGAAGCCTTTGTGTGCCTCAATAGTGGTTTCGACCATGCTGGCCGGCACTCTGGAACCGAGACATGCTCCAGCACGATCACATCTTTTGCATTTTGCTAAAACTAGAGAGCGAAGAACCCCATGCTGTGCCAGAAAGATACGACTGGCCTATACCAACCTGGACAAGTGGCAATGCTCCCGTGTTCGGTTTGTCTTTCGACAACGTGCATGCTCCGCACACCCATAACGCACACTGCCGGTAGGATAAGTGTGTAAAGCACCTATAAGAAACGCTTCTAAACATATAGGCGTTTTGCAACTGCTTGTCTTCATAGGAGGGCTCCGTTATCTAAATCGGAATCGTATTTGCACTTCTTTCGACATACTGACACTTCCCATGATATGTGGTGCACGTACTCACAGCGATACACTTTGCTCAGTTCTGTTTCCCCGTCAATTCGCCAACTGACTAGAGTATATCACTTCCCGCAGGGACGGAACCACCACACCAAAGAATCTACAACGCGTGTATCTGTAGTAGACGCCCTGCGGTGGACACCTCGTAAGGACCAGTCTCTCGCCTCCCTGGACGGATCAGTACCACCTTCGCACCTTCCATTTCTACAAACGCATAAATCGAGTAACAGGTCACTTTGAAGCAGAGTTGGTCAGCTTCTCTCCCGTGAGCCTCCAGGATTGTATACGCTGAACGCACAGCGAAAAAAATGAAATCATGTCGTGCTTTCCACTGTGTAATATTCTGCGGCGACAGTGACCCGCTTCTGTCAGATTCCACATACCGGCTGATTCTTCCAGACAGTCTCCCTCTGGCGGTTTCCGTCAACATGTTCGCTCAATTAATTTGCTATCCGGCGCCTACGGACGCTTTCTTCCTTGTTGTCTGACGCTTTTTGGCTCATGAATAGCAGCGGTCTTGGCATACTCCAAATACTATATTTCAGGCATACATTGATATTGAGGTTGTCTCAATCTCAAAATCACGTTGCAATTCAACATGATGACTTTGCCAGGAGAGTCATCATATTGCTTGAGAGGGGCTGTCTGAGAGGAGTTGAGGACAACCCGCAAATAGTTTGGTTTTAGGGGTCTCATGAAAAACGTTTAAAAGGAAATCCCGGAGTCTAGATTGTTGGAAAACCTGCGTGGCCGAAGCCCAATACTGGATAAGATGACCCAAGTTCTTCCCTGTCTTACTGCAGATTTGCACCTAAAAAGAAATGACTCCGACTGCACGTCTCCGTCAGTAACAAATTGGGATTGGAATCCTCAAAACGGCCTGTTAAAGCGCGATGGACCTGACAGTAGACTAAGCTTGTAGAATTTGACAGTGCAGACCACGCTCAAATGACGCGTTTAAGTTATATGACAAGCACTACTCCTACAGGGAAAGTGCGCTGCTCGAGGTTCGAACTGAAAACAATGTTCTATACAAACGTTTTATTCCGAGAAAGGTTTGGAATGTATCGATTGGCGGTTTTGTCGAAATCATCCTCATGCAAGATTGGAGGACAGTCTGGTCAACGTATGAGCTGAGCAATATGTGTCTGCACGCAGGAAATTATAGTTCGTCGCATGAAATCTTGTAGCAGTGAAGACCAGACACCCAGTTGAAAGCAATGACGATTTCCATAGATGAAGGAATATTATATTTGCGTGCGGACCACACACTAATGCTTTGCTTTCGTTGGAACTTCCAGATCGATTGAGAGGTCTGCACTCTACCGAGCCTTCAATCAAAACCTCGCAAAATGTTTATGCAGTGCCGATGGAGGCGGACCTGCCAGAAATGTACAGGTATGGCTGCGACGAAGAAGTAGTGGTGGTCTCCCAAACTATTTTCAAGACAGTCAGTATCTGTCACTGTATAAGTGAAGAAATTTTCTACTCAACTCTTGCATCTTCCAGAGTACGCGGTTACATCCAGAAATACTGGGAAGTCACTTCTCGCGGACTTAAAGATCAAATCTTCCGAAGAGCGCAAGAAAAACTTGTCACTTGTGCTCCACTTGGAGTTGCCGCAAGTCGCACTTCCACTGACGTTTTTACCTGACACCTTGGTTCCGACATGACAATCCCTTTTCGCGCATTCTGAAACATCAGATTCCCCCATCCAAGCATCGATACCCCTTCAAACAAGCACACTTCCTCAATTCGATTCGTGTAGCATGCTACCAGCGAGGAGTGATGGGACATGATCAGTGTCAGTGCATTCGTGTGTGTTAATCATGTTTCCACGTTTTTAAGAGAACAAAGATATCCGCTGCTTTGTAGTTTTATGTAGCTGGTTTCGTCGGTGACCTGGACGAGGCTGGCAAACTGGAAATCAAATTGGAATTGCTGCTTGGAAAGTGTCGGAGTGGAGTAAAGCCATTAAACTCGTGCATCACAAATACTTGTAGATACCAGTACATGCTGTTTACGGAAAGCCTATCAAGGGTAGTACCCCAATTCGATGTAAGGGGTTTTCAGCTCTGATTTGAAAATGGTTCTGGGGCGTTGTCTTCTAGGATTGTTTTTTCACCCGAAAAACGGCATATGCGAGAAACATGGGGGTGATGAAGCCGTTCCATGCGCCTCAAATCAAGTGGAAGAAAGATGCCGTCCCGATCTGTATCCCTCCACCACGTTGTGCCAGTGTGTGTTGAGGTTTAATACAGTAATTAAGCGCACGGGGGCAGCAGCAATGCCACTAGAGCGCGAACCTGCCAGCGAAAGCGCGTGACGCAGCCTGTACGGTGTCTTTCTGTCGAAAAGCGCCCCAAGAGTTCTGCACTGCGCAGCACATTTTAGTAACTCGGCAACTCTAGAGGGCTGCCGCCGAGGTACTGCAGAACCTTAGGGTCTACTCAGTGTTTTGTTTTAAACAGGGAGAAAAAGTCTAGATCGTTGTGAAAGGATTTTAGTGAAAAAGTACATTTCAGTCCAATAACAGATTCTATCAATTTTTTAGAGAATCGGTCGAGGACGTTTCTAGAGGCCTGTGACGGAGGGATGGAGGACACTTCTGAAAGGAGTGTAGGGGACCATAAAAGGGAGGGCCAATCACTCTCCCGGAGAGACGGACACCGACCCCTGCTTTACATCTAACATGGTGCTCTTGTAGAGGGCCGACGCAGACGGCAGTGCGGGTGCCCACCCAGTTATCAGGATCGGTCGAACGGGTATCATGTTTCCAAATTTCTGTTAGTATACGAAAAAATCATCATGCACGGCAAGCCTGACAAGGAAACCGCAGGAGCTGTCTTATGTCACTTCGGGGGTTCCGCTCTCGACTACTACTTTGACACCTGAAGTCATAATTGGATGTGACCGACGCCATCAGTGACTGCGAAGGCTTCAAAAGGTCCCTGTCTGACCATTTTCTCGTGACATCTAGGCAGGAAGAAACATTCAGAAGGCTATGAGCTGCCAACTGCATGGTGTTAATTTGCTCGCTTCGATTGGTAAAATGGACAAGATGTATTCGAAGGCTGGTTTCAATGACGAGCCAAAGTACGGCTTGCTTCGCAACTCCGTAACGTTCTCCGACAACTTCATAAGAACCGAAAAGACCATGAAGGACTTAGCCGCAGGCTTTTACGCCTTCAAGGCGACGAAATCTGCTACGCAGTCTGTCTAATCTGTAAGGCCCAAGCTCGAGTTGATGCGTTCTGATACGGATCCCCCAGAAGACAAGCTCGAGAACGAAGTAGAATGTATCACTCTCCAGCTGGCAGAACGTTCATGGATGATGCGGAAGAGATCGAAGCTAGGGGACAGTGACACTAGTTAGACATGTTCTTATTGCTAGGAACCAGGGCAATCAAAGACCCTTTTTCGGTCTAAGCCACACCGTAAAACTCGCTGCCCGACGTGCGGAAAGGTTAAACGTACCAATGAAACGTCCTGATCTCGATTTGGAAGAAAAACGTGGCTCGTACCCACCCCCAGGGTAACGCTGGGCCCGGAAGCGCTTGTAACCCCAAGCCGAGCCCTTTGTCAACGGCACAAGTGGTGAGAACACCAGAGACTCGAAGCAAGTCAT